TATAAAATTTCCACTCTCTAAACACACGAATGCAAAATGATTTGGAAATAAGCTCTTCATTTACAAAATATTTTTTTACAGTTTTGTTTTCGATTTTACCGGTGTATTCAATTTGACTGCTGCACGTATTTGGCACGATAATTGATTTTTCTTGATTATCACGCGATCGCACTTATCGCGCGATTATATATTTACAAAATTCGGAATGCTGGTCGGACAAAGAACCCCGTTTTTTACTCTACGTGGAAAGAATATTATATTACATCGTCTTTGTTCACCGTATAACGGTGTTGGTCAAGCGACTGAACTAACCCTTAGCTTTTTTTTTACAAGTACATGTACAATATTTACAGAAATTCGACAAAAGGAACACAATGCTATAATCGCCCGCAAGCACAGTAGACGGTTCGAATAGTAAGATGTAAATTACCGATCATCGGTTACTCCGTTGATTTGGGTTGCGTTGATTTGAGTTGCGTTCACTACGAATTATTTTACGGAGACGATGCAATTGCAATTATTTATCAGTAACATTTAAGATTGCTACATCGGACTGCCATTGATATTGTAAGAAAAACAACGTCTTAAATATCATTAATAAAATTGTCAAAACTTCCCTAATATTCAATATATTTAAAAATCGTGAGTTTGTAAAAATTTCTATAAACTTAAAGATAATTATGTAAGATGTAAGAAAATATAGGTGAAAGACGATACATCATAAATTAGTCAATGTGTACGGAGAAAATTTTATATAAAAAATTACTGTGTACGGCAGTAGCCGCGGAGCGAACATTTTTACCGTGTGTTTCAAATGTGAAAAACACAGTGAAAATTTCTACAATGGTCCGCGGTTACTGCCGTACTTTTGGTATAAAATTTTCTCCGTGTGGATTAAATCAAATATACAAAATATAGACAACGAAATTAAAGGTGAAAGACGAAAAAGAACAACGAAAGTGGAAATATGTAAATCATATCTTTATTGCGATAAAAAGTTAAAAAAGAAATAAAAAAGGAATTATATGCGGTATTCGCAAAAACGGCATTGCACCAAAAGTATGCACTTTTTTAAAGACATTTATGAAATTACAAAGATATGAGATGAGAAATCGTGCGCAGAAGGAATCGCCAATTCGTTGAAATATCAATCTAATAGGCGTCCGCGCGACTGCATTTATTTGCAGAATTATAAAAATTCGACGCGAGGCATGGCAAACTATCTTGAATCGATTCTTGCACACGAAGGACGGTTGACGCGCGTAGATCTCCTTGCGTACAACTAAATTAAATCGCTGTATCAAATTGGCTCGATTTCACAGTAATATTTGATACCTTATGAATCTAAGCAACTGACGAGCATGTGACGTGATGAAATAGAGAGAAGCGCGATGATCCGCTGCTTGAGTAAACTTAAGGAGACACGGGAAATGACGAAGCAATCTCGAAACGTATAAAACGTATAAAACGAGTTAACTCGAGCGAACTAACTTAATGCTTAACACACTATATATAGTATACCTTCGAAATCGAACTGGTTTAATTTGTGTCACGTGATCACGTATATTCTTTGGCGAGATTGCTTGTTGCGGTTATCTCGATGAGGATATCGGATCAGGTTGACAAGGCAAAAAATTAATAGGACGATGTTACGGGCCGGGAATGTCGGGTTTAGCAAATTGTTTCGACGATTTTGTACTAGACATTACATAGACGTATCACATCTAGTCGCCTGTGAATGAAATATAGAAACCATGACGCTTCGCTTATATGTATCACACATATCGTTACATACATTGGAATGCATTCTTTCTAGAAAAGTAATTTTTATTTCGCCAGGGGAGATGTGATCGCGAATTTTTTCTATATTTCAATCTTGATAAAATAGATTACTGTAGGTTCGTATGTACACAGCTGTCGCACACACTCGCCGCCACTTGTGCCACCCTCATAGAACACATGAGAGAGACACATAGAGACACAACATTAAAAACAACTATCTACAAAGAGGGTATTATTCGCCTTAAATAGCACAGCCTTTGCTAAACCCGCCTCCGCATTCGCGTTAGTGTGGCTCGTGACAAATTACAATCGTCGGTTGTAACTTAACTTAACTCTCCTTTATACGGAGAAACCAAGTATGACTAATCACGGATCAACGTCGTGAACTCGTGATAGAGATGTTCTTCGAATGAATCGACAATAAATTCGGACAGCGAGCTTTGTATGTAAAATAACAATAGTGCTCCTTCCACGAATATCTCGTTAATTGCATCAATATATTCGGCTATCTACCGTAACGTGGCGAAATTTACACGAAATTCCGTAGAAACGTCTCAAGAGAAGGATATCTGTGTGACGTATTTCGCATTCATGCTCGAACCAACTCGATGCCGCTTAGCAACAGGTTATATCATGCAATCGATTGGCACTAGATCGACCAGGGAAACTGTATTTGCGGTTTGCGGCATTTAAGAATGCTTTTTCACGTAATAGATGCATCTCTTTAAATGTGAACTTAAAAATTGAAAAATTGCACCGATTGCATCGTAAATTTTTCATCATAAATAAGCGTTATCGTGAAAATCGGCATTTTTTAACGAATAACGCCGGTTAATTTTACACACGGACCAGCCGCGCGCAAAAAAGATCCCTTATGATCTAACTGCAAATTTTTGTCAGAAATGTCACTTTTCGTTCACAATAGCGAAATAAATTTGTCCGAAGATTCGGAAAAGCCTCGCGTTATTTTCTCAGCCGTAAACTTCTACTCCGCAAACTTCCGCTCCGATATTGTTAAGTTCGAGCATAAATAAATACGTAGAACCGTCGCGTTTCCCAGCACACAGGATTTATAAATATTAACAGTCCAAGAGTTAGTGCACTCCATCCTCGTATCTACTCGCACAATATAACGCATGTAAATATCCCATGTAATTTAACGCGCGATATAAAGTACGTTCCGTTGACATTTACCATCGATCCTTCAATAGCACGTGTCCACGATACTATTTTGTGAATTATTCCAAATTAATTGCTCAAATGGTTGCTGTAGTTTATAACTGCGAGTCTTTAATTAATTTCTCCCAACAACCCAACAAAATTGCGTCAACTCCAACTAAATAAAGAATCCAGTTAAATTAATCTCGCGCAATTTTTTACAAGTGTTAAAAAAACTTGAACGCAACCTTAAGTTTTTTGAAGTTAGTTATATTTTAAAAACCTAATGAAATGAGGTATTATACGTTAGATCGAAATTCGTGAACTCTCGTTCTCACCCTCGGTTATTCTAGCAATGTAGGTACAATTACAAGGGTAGATCGAAACACTCTCGAAGGGTCGAAGGAGGCTTTCGACGTGCCTTTCGGTAAATGAGTGCGGTAAACACACGGTGTATGACGGACACCTGGTCCGTTGATGGAGGGATGGAATGTGCGGGGGTGTGTTCAACGGGAGATCAATATGCCCGAAGTGGCACGATGGATCCATAACCATCGTTTTAACGGAGCAATTGGAGCAAAAGAAATTATTGTATACTTCTCGTGCGTGTGTGTGTGTGTGTACATGTGCATGTGTGTTTCGTGTGTCCCGCGTGTTGAGTAGGTTGTGTGTATTGTATGGCTGCCGCTTCTTGTCACGGCGGAGAGTTGTTCGTTCACTTGTGCGGTGAAGTCGACTTTTCTCGTTCACCGCGCCCCCACGACGACGTCACGTCGATCGACCTTAATGGCTCAACACATTGTAGCTCGCGAACCCGGCGAGGGCGTTCGCCCGTCTTTTCCTACCTAAACGCGCGAAACGTATCGACTTTTCCCGTCTCGAGACTCCGCAGTCGACCGTGTCCTTCGAATCTTGCCACGGTCGAGCGGTCCTTGCGAGCCCTCAGGAGCCATTGCATTCATCGGTTAACTTCGCTAGGTTATTTTTTGTATTTATTTTTTCTTATCTTTATGTATATTTATCGTTCGTACGATTGAGTCCAAATGGAAAATATTGCATCAATGATTGATAATTCAATAATTTTTAGCGTGATCACAGTCCTAAGAGGACTGTTAACCGTAACTAACTTAAATTGGATCAACTAACTTTGATTGACAAATTCCTGTCGTCCCTCTGTAGCTTGTTACACGTAAAAAATGAAGTTTAATTAAGCGTGATTAGCGATGATAACTGATACCGATGTAATCGGCCCCGAGGCACCTCGAGAGAGATCGAATTGCGAGTACCAGGCACCGGATGAGATTCCATTGTTTGTTCTAAGAGTATCGATTCTCCATGGAATCGAGTCTCCCGTTTTGAGTATCACTTGTGATTGCTTGTTGACTCGTCGGGAGTTGAGAAACACCGGATATTCCAGAACAATTTGTTCTATGGTTTGAGAACATCCACTTTGCACAATCAAATAACTTAATCAAGTCTGCTACACCGTTGTCGGTCAACATTTGTAGTTAGTTAGAATTATATGTTATGTTTATCACATAGAAATGTAATTATTAAAAAATATATAGCAAAAAATATATTATTCTTGTACAAAAGATTGTACAAGCATTTGGAAAAATTCTTTTAAATTTGAAACATTTTTGCAAACCTGAGAAAGTAAGCTATTTCACATAATTTAAAAAAAAATTGAGTCTTGATGTCCCAATTTGTATAAAATTTGAAGCAGTGCCTGTGTCTCGAAATTCTTGACAGAGATATTTCGGCGCGTGATTCCTTGCAACGAAGCAAATACGTTTCGCAGATAGCAATGTCGAGATGTCGACATCGAGACGTTTCGCTCTGGTGATGAAGACTAACGTTACATCGGACGTTCCATGAACAATATATTGCAATGCACTCGTCGAAAAACCGCGCTGCGCTGGGCGCTTGTGTGTCACGACGACCAGCGTCCCCTCCTCGATTGTCTAGTAGCGAGAGAAATTGATCTCCATTAATAGAAATAAATAAAAATGCCCAGAATAAAATTTATTTAAATATCACATTATAATCGGATTAAAAATTTAAATTTAAAATTTTGAAGGTTATTATTTTAAATCCAATTTGGATGAAATATATCACCAGACTAAATGCGAAATTAATAAAATATAAAATTTTATTTCCTACGATTGAATTATATTAAAAGAAAAGATTCATTTTTATTATGCTTTGTCATTATAATTACCTTTGAAGATTATTATTTACGATAAGAAATTGATTTATGAATTTCGAATAAGAGCAACATTAATTGATGCGCGACGGATAGGAATAAATTTCGAGGGGAATCAATTTCTCTCATTGTCTGACATATCAGGCGTTAATCGATTGGACGGTACCGGAGGAGTAGATCGTTGTAATTGCGAAGTTTCTCGGATATTTACAAGTACGGAAGATTTGAACGGTGCAAACGTAGCGTTATCGGAGGATCGGAAGATAACGCCTCGGCATCCAGTCGTGCGATGTTGCCTCGATCGAGTCGTGAAAATTCTTCCAAGACCTCCGTCCTTTCTTCTCGTTCAAGGAAGATCCAATTGGTCCGCTCGCCGTAGCTCCGAATCCGCGTCGAGACCTTGTAATTCGATCAACGTAGCCGGTTAGCATCTATAAAGACAAGATGCTAGACTGCCGTGGGGGCACGCGATTGTCAATGCCACTTCGCCTTTTGCGCGAATATATCCGCGCGCAAGTTCTGCGCGAAGCAGATCCCCAGAATCTGAAAACAGTGGGAGAACTCTCTTCACTACTTTGCTGCGAATCACTTACGAGAATTGAGAGGAAAATTATTCTGAGCATTTTCACAGAATATCTCATTGTTTCGAAATTTTATATTCAATTTTTAATTTTTTTTTTTTTTTTTTTTTTTTTTTTTTTATATTAAAAGAAGATATTTATTTTCAATAATATTTTATGAAATATTATATTTTAATTTTGCAGAATATAATTAAAACATTTTAGTTATTTATTTAATTTTTGTTGAAATGATATATTTAAATTAATTTAATGTTTTAAATAATTGATGATGTGTATTTATATTAATGAAAATGGACATTGTCTATGAAAATGCTAAAAGAATAATATCTACAGTGTAAAAATTTATACAAGTAGAAATTTTAAAAGAATCGATGCATTTTTAAATTGCAAAGAAGTTGTTTATCCTATTCTTAAATTTGTACCATAGTATTCCTACTTGTTACTTCTGCCTGTATATAATTAATATACATGACGTATACATTTATAATTTTGAATAATTAGACATACATACATACATACATACAACATATATACATATATAGATAATTAGATGTTTAAATAATTAGATCGTACATCACAATGAGATGCAATTAATGTAATCTATCGTAATATAGATAACAAATAATATCAACATGCTTTACTTGACAATTTATTCGACGAATAAACGAGAAATTTACGTCATAAATAAGTATTAATTTAAAATTTTAATAAAGTTTTTAGACTCAATACATTACAGACAAAAACGTACTTGCATTGTCTAGCTATGTATCCACTTTATGTCTTCTCGCGTGCGCGCGGACGCGTGTGTAACGTTATAAACGAAATAAGTAACAGTCAATAAGTAGGTAAAGTCTCACCTTATTTCCTTTAGGGCATGCAATGACTCTGCATATAATATTTTCGCAGCAATTCGCATCGACGAATATATTACGAGAAACGTGCTAAAATTTCATTTCAACTCTTTGAATCAATGACGGTTCAATTCGAATGGCGTAGAACACATCTGAATCGCAAATTGAAAATTAAGCAAGTTGTGCTCGGATTTAAGTTTTCTATTATAAATCAAATTAAGAAAATTTTAACCACTGGATGCTGCAGAAAAAAAAATGAAATTAAGATACTTAAACGCGTTGAAATGAAATATTCCGCGTTGAAATGAAAAATGTTTAATAAAGAACTTTAAGGATTTTGCAAGTATTATCATTATCTAGTTAAATCGATCACGACTTGAAAGTGTTGATTGCGAAAACAGATGAATGAATTTCCACTCGTACTCGTTGATTTTGCCGATGCGTGTCGTGAAAGAGAGATTGTACTAATGCATTTTATATCGTCAATATGTACCTGAGCGAATGCTGTACCAACTGCACCGCTGGCAATCGCGAGGAGATTTCGTTCCATCCACTCCTCGCCGGCCTGTATGCAACCTTTTTCGTAAATCACTTTGGCGACCTCATAGTTCTGAAAAAAGAAAGGAAATGGCTACTTCGCTTACCGTCGGCTGTCTGGTACGCTACAATTACAGTTGTTAGTCCAGGACAATTCGTCGGTGACGGCATTAGTTCCGTGAAGGTTTCCGTGGAGAAAGTGAAAGGATAACTGCATCGTTCTTTATGTAACTCCAACTGTTTTTACCGCCAATCGCGTCAATCGGTTGCTATTTTAACGCGCGCGTGTCGCAACTGTTTCAAACGTTGGTCGCGACGCGCGTTTCGTCATTTGTACGAAATGTTGAGGCAATAGCGAGCGGTGGATTTAACATAGCTAACAATTAGCGAGTCTCTTCATTCTCTATTAATACACGCTCCTTTAGTATCAATCCATCGTAAGGAAAGATTTATTTATTCATCACGAGCGAATAGTAACGTGGATAAGTTTCGAAAGATTACGATGCGCTCGGATTGCCTCGCAACGAATGCAAAGGCCTGCGACGAGCGCTTTTGGACGAGATAAAATCTACGATGTCTAGCTCTTATAGTCGCGTCGAGTCCGGACGAGAACTTGCGAGAAAACGCTGAAAAGGTCAAACCGTCCTCGCTTTTACATCCCGCCGGCACGGCCTCGGTCTCCGCTCTACTAAGTGAAAACTCAATAAGGTACTTGGTCCGGTCGGCGTTTCCTCTCCGTTTTCCACGAGTCTGTCGCGCGAGCTATATCACCCGGAGGGAACTCGACTAGAACGAGCGGAAGAACGGTTCGTATGTTACGAGAGTGACGTTCTTAAAGAAGCGGTGTCTCTCTGCCGCCTCTCGGCCGCGAGTCGGACAATAAATTCCGCCGCTTAAATCTCCGAGCGAGTCTCCGACCGGTAACTTTAATTTCCAGTCATATAAAGGCAGCGACTTAATTTATTAAGGCGCCGGGATGGGCGGGAGTATGCCGGAGGGACGCAGATCGAGCGGGGATCGTAAAATGGATCCAAAGGAGGAGGAGAAGACGAGAAGGAGGATTCCGACCGGCGGAAACGAGGAGGTGTGGGAGGGTACGTACGTGCTCGAGAAAATATATATACGGGTACGGTGGCGCGCGCGGAAGATGGAAGAGGGAGGGAGGACACGTATGGAGCATTTACGCGGCCAGGGGGGAGGGTAGGAAAGAGAGAGAGAGAGAGAGTA